GCACACTTTGAAGTTTCAAAAGTCTAAGCCAGGCCAAGTGGCTTTCTCTCCTCTCTTTCCCCTTACTCCCTTCTGTGCCCCATACGTGGATCAGATGTAAGCGCCCAGGTACTGCTCCCAGCACCATGCTGCCCACCTGCTGCCACGGTCCATGACATGATGGTCTCAGACCCTAACCCTCTGGAACAGTAAGCCTCCAAATTCAGTGTTTTCTTTTATAAGGAACCTTGGTAGCGGAGTTTTGTCACCACAACAGAAAAGCAACTAAGGCAGTGGGACTTGGCTCTCACCGTTTTGATTTACAAAAGTGAACTCAGATATGAAAGGTACCTTTTGCTTTATCAGTGTCTTACAGTGACCTACCTGGGGCATAATAATTCACCCTTTTCAATAACTAAAGTTCTGTAGCATGGGTGTTACTGAAACTATGAGTACAGGCAAATCAGCAGGGAAGTTAGCTTACAAGGCTGCGTCCTGGACTTGAAGACTGAGAAGAGAACCCAGTGAAAGAGCTGTAAAGAGTATCCAGCTAGTACAGGAGACACCCAACATGTGGTGTCATGAAAGGTAAGGAAAGGGACTTCAGGTGACAGAGGAAACAGTGGATGCTGAGATCTACCAGTGAGCGTCCACAGTAGCAGAGCTTACGTGCCCAACTTCCTGTGTCAGCCAATGACTCCAGAAGGATGCTGAGATCTACCAGTGAGCATCTGCAGTAGCAGAACTTATCTGTCCAACTTCCTATGTCAGCCAATGACTCCAGAAGAATGTTGAGATCTACCAGCTCTCCACATCATCAAACCTACTCCCTACATCAATAGACCAGCTCTCTGTGTCAACAGACCAGCTCCCTACATAAACAAAGTGCCACAAAATTTGTTAAGAATACAGCAGTCGGGGGCTGGAGAGATGGCTCAGAGGTTAAGAGCTTTGCCTGCTCTTCCAAAGGTTCTGAGTTCAATTCCCAGCAACCATATGGTGTCTCACAATCATCTGTAAAGGGGTGTGGTGCCCTCTTCTGGCCTGAAAGCATACACACACAGACAGAATATTGTATACATAATAAATAAATAAATATTTTTTAAAAAAAGAATACAGCAGTCGGGCTGGAGAGATGGCTCAGAGGTTAAGAGCACTGGCTGCTCTTCCAGAGGTCTTGAGTTCAATTCCCAGCAACCACATGGTGGCTCATAGCCATCTGTAATGAGATCTGGTACCCTCTTCTGACCTGCAGGCATATGTGCAGGCAGAATGTTGTATACATAATAAATAAATAAATCTTAAAAAAAAGAATACAGCAGTCTCCCTGATCTGCAATTTTAATGAAAGGTATTTTAGTCAACCTCCATCCAAAACTTCAAAGGCAAAATTCTAGAAATTAACTTGTAAGTTTAAAACCGCATGCCATTTTGAGTTCAGTGATAAAAATCTTGGACCATCCAGATCCCTCCAGCTCTGGCTGCGTACCACTCATGGTCCATCATATCCACGTTGCATACACTGCATGCCCAGTAGTAACCCAGCCCCTTTCTGGCAGTACACAATGGGTTGTATGTAGGGCCAGTACCAAACATGATGTCAGAGCATAGAGCCTCCAGAAGTGTTCACTGTAAAATCACAATTCAGTCATGGTCTCATTTTGCATTTCTGGGGTTATTATTGGTTGCTTTTTTTTTTTACTTTATAAGAATATGGATTGGAATTTCTTGTGTATGTATGTGTCCAATCGTATAGAGACAAGACTGCTTTCATCAGATCCAGATAGGCCTTGAAAACCCCGGTGAAACTGCTCCAGGCGGTGCCTTCCAGTCAATTGCCCGGACACATGTTCCTGTACGGGGGTCTTTCCTCTGCCGAGGACAGCTGAGGACTGGCAGCTGCCAACATGGATTCCTCAACGCCTGGCTCTAGGAGTCGAGAGGGACAGGAGCAACATGCCTGGTTGCCTCCAGGGCCCGAGGCCAAGAAGGTCTCCTTTCCGTGCCTCCCGAGCACAGCCCAGCTTCTGTCTGTTCTCTCTGATTCCCAGCGTACCTCCGTTTCCTGTTGAATGCTCTTCTTACTGCAATCCTTTCTGTCAGTTTTGTGCACGTATGCCTTGATCTGCATTGACAAAGGTCCTGGAAACGGTGCTACTCCTCTACCTTACTTGAGCATCCCATGATCCATAATGACAACATCCTCAAACTGTTTGCCGGGGAAATCTTTGCAGGTCACTGGTTTCTTCTGCACTCTCAGAGGTCGGTGGAATCCCCAAGGCTTTCTCAGTAGCCCCAAGCCCATCTCTCTTGCGGTGCCCTTGTCCTCCTGGTTGGTTCTTTCTTCTCTAGTTCTAGTTCATCCAAACCCCCTCCCCTGGTGTGGGACAATGTGGTGCTCAACACTGGGACACGGAGACCCTTTCCAGCTTGCAAAAGCACATGGTGGAGATGCGTTGAGTCACAGGAGCGCAGAGTCAGCAGTGGGCTGACATCCTAGGCTCCCCTGGCACCCTGAGAAGGTTCCCATCCTTTTTGCTCAGATGTGGGGGAGAGGCGAGGTCAGATCCCAGAGGGATTTTATCAAACTGGGGAGGGGGACCACCTGAGTTGTGGTTTAGTTTGAGAGGGCTCTGATGGGGAAACAGATGTGAAGAAGGCATTTCTCTGATGTGCACAAGGAGCTAGAATTTGAAGCACCGAACGACCCATTGTGAATGAAACTGAGAAACAGTCCAGCTGCTGATCGCCTATCTCAGAAAGCCTTACCCTGCCTGGTAACCATGGTGACTTACCCAAGGTGTTCATGGTTGTGTTAATAGTGTTAATCAGGGTGCCGCCGAGGCAGAGGCCTTGCATCCTAGCCCTCAGGAGGCCAGAGACACCCTTATCTCTATTGAATTTGAAAGCATCCTAATCTACACAAAGAGTTCCAGGCTAGCCCAGGCTACACAGTGAGACCCTGCCTAAAAAAATGATGAATTATATATTATTATTATATTATTAAATAGTGACTAACGTGTGTATTGTACTAAACCATAAAAGTTTTCTGTGTATACTATTTTGTTTTTACAGCAATCTGATATGTTGATAGAAGTTTTTGCACATGCTGAGGTAGAGGCCCTTCTGGGACACCCATGAAACTGCCTAGTATGTTTATATGAGCTTATAAGGTAGGTATATTGTGGTATGATGTTTTTGTACACTGTGGAGATGTGTCTCTGCCAAGGCACCTTCTGATTGGCTTAATAAAGAGCTGAACAGCCAATAGCTAGTCAGAAGAAGATAGGTGGGACTTCCAGACAGAGAGAGGAACTCTGGGAAGAATCTGAGGCATGTGAGATTTGCCAGTGAGCACAGCAAGTCAGACGCACAGAAAGGTCTGTGTGTGGAGGAGAGGTAAGGAGCCACATGGCAGAATGTAGATTATATAAATAATCTATAGATTATATATACTCTATAATATATATGTAATCTGTAGATTATATAGAGAATAAATGGGTTAATTTACATTATAAGAGCCAGTTGGGAACAAGCCTAAGCTAAGGCCAAGCTTTCATAATTAATAAAAAGTCTCTGTGTCATTATTTGGGAACTGGCAATCCAAAGTCTGACTACACAGGTACTACCAACATCTAATAACTCTTTTTAACAGTTGACTCTTTTGTTATTTTTATGTGTATATGTGTGCCTGTGTGAGTTTGTGTGCCCCAGGTGCCTGCAGGGGCCCACAGAGGCCAGGATTGCACTCCCTGGAATCAGAGCTGTAGTTGCTTGTGAGCCATCACACGGGTGCTGAGACCGGAACTCAGGTCCTCTGCAGGAGCAGTCAGCGCTCTTAGCTGCTCAGCCTTTCCTCCAGCCCTGCATCTGTCGCTTCGCACTCTCACTGTTTGACGGCTGTGGAGACCCAGAAATGTGAGCCTATTCCACCTTGTCTGAAGGTCAGGCAGAGAGTTTGAGATTACTTTTGCTCTTTCAAAGTTGTTAAGGACACAAGCGGCTACAAATGAGAGATTCTGGCCTAGGGTGTGGTTAATTAGTATTTTGAGTGCTGAATTAGATCTGCTCCACCTGGACCAAAGGTTGGAGAATCCAAGTCCATTCCTTGTGTCATGCTAATGCAGTCTGTTGCCTCCCCCTCCCCTTTTGCAGTGAAGTATACAAGCACATGGAAGAATAAACGAGAGGAATTCAGTATTCGCTGAATGTCCCAATGCTGTTCTATGTTTCTGTTGTAGTTCTCTTATATCTCTGTTCCTAACATTTCTAATCCTCATGCTCCTACCCTGGAACGTGTGAATTATGTTGAAGTTGGCTTTTGACATACGGCCGCCCAACATGCACGGTTTTCGACAGATGACCAAATGCACTAAGTACTAAGTACTTCTCGTGTGCTCTGAGGCCTATGTCCGAAATCCTGGAACTTGGAAACTGACGGTGTTCAGACGAGGCCATCCCTAAGCATGCAGTCACGGACCTGGAAATGGGGAAATCATCCTGATTGTTCTCTGGGACCTTAAATGCCAAGACAAGTATCCCTGTGACAGACACTGGGACCTCAGAAGCGGAGACTTAATGACATGTCCACGGTTGTGAACGCTCACAGAAGCAGGGGTGGTGGCACGTGCCAGTGTTCAGAGCACTTCAGAGGCAGAAGAGGGAGGATTATGAGTTCAAGGTCAGGCTGGGCTAGTTAGTGAGACTCTTCTCAAAAATAAATAGATAAAAAAAAACAAAACAACTACTGACAGCCAGCTGAAACTGAAGGAGAGAAGGAAGATTCCTGGCCGGGAGATTCCAGAGGCACAAGGCCCTGCCTGCACTTAGAATCTATATCTGGCCAGCGGGCTCCTAAATTGAAGTTATTTTAAGTTTGTGGTTTTGCATAGCAACCATGGAAAAAAGAGTACAGTACCCCAGAACTGCTCACTCACTCAGTCATGGGAGTGTCTAAAAAAACCGGCACCATCTATCTATTTGAGGACCAAAGATTAAATAGTGACACACCGCGGTGACTCTTTTCGGAGCGTTACTTTATAAGCAGCAGAAGATGGGGCTGGTAAGCGGCTGTGACAGACTGAAGGGTCAGAGTCAAGATGACCCAGGAGAAAAAAAGTGGAGGCTGAATCAAAGAGCTCTGTAAACAAATTAAGGGACCAATAAAGCTGCCTTCTCTAACAGCCTGGGCCCTCGGCATTATGCTCTCAGTGTCTGGAAGGTTCCCAGGAGAACAGGAATGGGATTTTGTGCATGCTGAGGTAGAGGCCCTTCTGGCACACACATGAAACTGCCTGGTCAACAGCTGGATAGTTCCGGTCTGAACCTTTGGAGCTGGGGTCAAAGAGTAGCGTCCCTGGCAGTTTGTGCAGCAGGGGAAGTCCTGTGGAGGCTGATCACCCAGGTAAGAGGGGGACTCCTAACCTCACCTAGTCCAGACAAGGAGGGCGACTACCGGCAGTGAACCCTGACAGAGTGCTTAGAAAGGAAAATGAGAATTAAGGAGTCCCTTTGGGAATTCTGGGAGCGTCCCTCCCCCCCATCTCTCCCATAGAATCCGAGAACGTTTGACGTTTTCGAACTGGTTTTTTTTTCTTTCACTTTCCATTCTTAGTTTACAGAGAACAAGATTGGAATGTAAACACACACTTCATTGTTCTCTTAGAAGCATAATTCTAAAGAATCTGCACAGCCCTATCACCAGCTAGGCTAGACGGCAGAAGCTGGCCATTATTGCTCGGAAGGGGTGGAGGAGCTGACGGTGCAGTTAGTAATCATGATACTGGTGTCACGGCTAACGGTCGGGGAGGTTGTCTTTCCGCGAACGCAAAAACGCTGAGCTGGTAAACTCCCGCTGCCTCCGCAAGCAAGAACCACAGAGAAAAGCTCTCCATCTGTCACCTGGCACAGCGCCTTTGAAACAGGCCCAGCTAGAGCGCAGCGCTGTCTGCAGCCGGAGCGGCCCCGACCCGCTGACCCCCACTCCTCCCGCCGCCCCGCCCACCGACTCCGCCCCTTCCCCTCCCCCTCCCCGGCCAACTGTATTTGCTGTTTGCCAGACCACGACTAAAGAACCAGCTTGATTCCTTCTCTCCCTCCCAAGCTTCCCCGGTTCTGTTCACTCGTCTTCGACCCTGTTATCCCTGTAAGGACACTGGGTTTTTTGTTGTTTTGTTTTATATTGTTTTGTTTTTTATCGTGTTCTTTCAGGATTATTCCTGAAGTGTTTAAAGGGGCACCCTAGACTTAGAGAGGGAGGGAGGGAGAGAGAGAGAGAGAGAGAGAGAGAGAGAGAGAGAGAGAGAGAGAGCAAAACAGGGCAGGGAGTATGGAGGGTCGGACAGGAGCGAGGTTGTGGTCTCCTGGTCTTTTTGACTCACTTGTGTCTCCTTGGGTTAGGCCCTCCTCTAAGAACGAGGCAACACCCCTAAAGATGGACACCCTTGAGCAGAAAGTACCCTACTTCAGACACCCCCACCGCACACACGGCACACCCCGCCCCGCAGACCCGCAGCGTGGGCAGTCTTACTTGACTGGAGCTTGGGGTCACATTCAGTGGGGCACGGAGCCTTGTCACTATATTGGGCCATCTTGTCTCCCGCCCGGACAAGGCAGAAGAAACACTCCACTCGGAGCCGGAGCCCCACCCTCTGAGCTGTGCCTTTGTGACGCGTCGCTATGGAAACACCCTGCGGGCCTTCTTTTCCACTGAGTCTCAGGCCCCAGGGCCCAGAGGGTGGATGCTTCACGGGGGCGGGGGCGGGGGCGGGGGGTGGATTGAGGGGGGGGGATATCCCTGACCTTCACCGGCTTCTCTAGCCCCAGAAATACTTTCCACGCCATTGTTTTGGGTACTGGCAAGCAGGAGCAAACTGAAGACTAGTATCAGGCCTCGTGTACTGGTGCACACATGAGAGCGTGACCTCAGAATTAGAAGGCTAAGGTAGGAAGGAGGCCAGACCCGGAAAGAGATGCCTCAAAATATGAAATACACCAAGTATTAAAAACACCAAGGTGGACTGCCAGACTTCCAATCACACATTTCTGTCCACTCATAATTGTCAGTGTAAGCAAATGTAGGCGAGGTGGGCCTGGAAATTTGCAGGCACAGGATCTGGTATCAGTGGAAAGGCGCTCAGAGGTTCTCTAACAGCTCCCTGCTAGGTCAACCTAGAGCCTAGGTCCGGAAACACTAGGCACGGGCTAATTACGAAGAAAAGCTTATTTTTCCTTGAGGCTTTTGGAGGGGGAGGTACAAGTCCAAAGGGGTGTCCAGGCATGGTGGCGCAGGACTGCATTTCCAGCACTTGGAAGGTGGAGGCTGTAATGGTCTGTCTCTTTAAGAGACAAGCCACGCCCACTCCCTCCCCCATCCGCTGAGGCAAGCTGATCTTCCACTTCCTGCCCGAGTTCTCTCTTTTTTCTAGCTCCCTCTCTGAGAAGCAGCTTCCCTGTCTCTCATCATGGCTGTGTTCGTCGTCGCTCTCCTGTCCTTGCTGGTGACGGGTGCTTTAGGGAATGAATTTAGCATATTAAGGTCGCCAAGGTCAGTTGTTTTCCGAAATGGAAATTGGCCCATACCAGGAGATCGAATCCCAGATGTGGCAGCATTGTCCATGGGCTTCTCTGTGAAAGAAAACCTATTTTGGCCAGGGCTTGCAGTGGGTAACCTATTCCACCGGCCACGGGCTACCATTATGGTGGTGGTGAAGGGAGTGGACAAACTGGCTCTCCCCGCGGGCAGTGTCATCTCCTACCCTTTGGAGAATGCAGTTCCTTTCAGTCTCGACAGTGTTGCGAACTCCATTCACTCCATATTTTCTGAAGAAACTCCTGTGGTTTTGCAGTGGGCTCCCAGTGAGGAAAGAGTAGCTCTGGTGGGGAAAGCAAACTCCATTTTTGAAGACCTTTCAGTCACATTACGGCAACTACGTAATCGTCTGTTTCAAGAAAACTCCGTTCTCAGTTCTCTTCCCCTCAATTCTCTGAGTAGGAATAATGAAGCTGACCTGCTCTTCCTTTCTGAACTGCAAGTGCTACATGATATTTCGAGCTTGTTGTCTCGTCATAAGCATCTAGCAATGGATCATTCCCCCGACTTGTATTCACTGGAGCTGGCGGGATTGGATGAACTTGGGAAGCGCTATGGGGAAGACTCGGAACAATTCAGGGATGCTTCTAGGATCCTTGTGGATGCTCTCCAAAAGTTTGCAGATGACATGTACAGTCTCTATGGTGGGAACGCCGTGGTAGAGTTAGTGACTGTCAAATCATTTGACACATCCCTTGTAAGGAAGTCAAGGACCATCCTTGAGGCAAAACAAGAGACTGCCCCAAATCCCTATAACCTTGCATATAAGTATAATTTGGAGTATTCAGTGGTTTTCAACTTGGTACTGTGGATTACGATCGGCTTGGCCTTGGCTGTGATCATCACCTCTTACAACATTTGGAATATGGATCCTGGATATGATAGCATCATTTACAGGATGACTAACCAGAAGATTCGGATGGATTGAGTTTTCCTTATGCTACACTTAGACAACAGGTTTTGGGAATTGGCTGTTCTGTTAAAGTATATCTTTTAGTATGGTTTAAAGTAGATGGTATACCTTAAATTTATTTTAAAGAAAACATAGATTTTGTTCCCTATTTTGTGTGTGCCAGTTGTTTCCTTAGAGTGGTTTATAGTGTTAACACAAATGAATTGTGATGTAGATTCCATAGATGTTCAAATACTGTTGATATGGCCATGTAATAACGTAATTTCATTCCATTTAATACATTTGGAAATATGCACGGAAGGAAATGTAAACCACTTAGAGTAGTTGTGTTATTCATGTTGGAGAATGCACTGGGTTGGAAGCTTTCAAATGCTTGAGTTCCTTGCACAGGACAGATAAATCCTAGTGCAGCTGTTATTTACTATGAACTATTTGTAAATGTCTTAATCTGATGTAAATATCTCTGAGACAGGAGGGAAGGTTTTAACTAAGAGTAGCCCAAAAATACTGGATATGCTTACACAGTAGCTTAGTTTTGGAAGTGTGTGTGTGATTGGCAGGTTAGCTGTTTTTAATCTCTTCTGCAAGTTTGGTGATCTGTGTGGTTTAGTAGAGATATTAAAAATATTAAAAGTACTGTGTTGATTTCAGAAGAACCGAGAGCCAGGTCAGGTGACCAAGTTCTCCCATCTTTACTGAAGTATACCCTGCCTTGTCCCTGGTTTACTTATGTTTTTGTCTCTAAATTCTTCTTGCTGACTCTGTTACATGTGTGTTTTGCAAAGTGGCATGCCTGTGGTAGGGCCCACCAAAATCATCCACTTTGCCCAATTTCTGTTCATTCTGTGTATGTGTGTTCAACTTAAATGCACCCATGTTTACCGTTATATGTTATAATTGTCTGTTTATTGCATCTCATTTCAGACTACAAAACAATAAGTCTCATGTTTTAAACTGGTATGTACTTTTAAGTCTCTTACAAAAAATACTTTATATTTAATCCATTCCTCATTTAAAATATTCTCTACTATTATCAGTTCTGCTGTTAACCTTCTATTTCAAGCAGTTTTTTCTTCTTTCTGCCTTTTTATGAGTGTGAATCTTACCTGTTAAGTTGAGAGCCAGTACAGTCAAGCTCAGACCCAACCTTCCAGACAGATTCTATGCTGTAGTTATACCTAATAAACAGCCCTCAACTGCTCAGAGATCTGGGGAATATGACATTTAAATGTTTAATTATTAAAAAACTTTTCATAAAAAAAAGAGACAGTTTGGCTCCTAGTAACACTCTACTTCCTCCAAAGAAGACAGAAGACAAATGGGCACACAATGACGTCCATCTCAATTTGCTGCAACTGCCCAGTGCTAACCACTGGGCAAAACTGCCTTTCATCTAAAATAAGATCTCCAGACATGGACAGAGTCGCTGGAATCGACAGCCTAGCTGTTCAGGTCAAGGTAGGCTTGTCTTCCTACAGATTTCTTAGCCCACAGGATCTTCTGGAGCCTGACAGGCCCTGCGCTAAACAGCAAAAGGCAAATGCGACCTTCAGCAACCGTGGAGGACCCTGAGGAGCAGCTCTAGGTGTTGACCAAGTAAGTTCTCTGTCGTTTTTTAATCAGTAACTCAAGTAAAATTTTATCGTTCTCAAAGATCTCTGATGCAGTTTGACAGCTGAGAGGTTTTGTCAGTTTAAAAAAACAACCTCACCAAACAAATTTCAGTAAAATACAAATACAAGATCCGCAAGCTGTAAAGCTGTGAAGACAAATACGAGTTATCAAACTTCTCTCTCATGCTGCTTTCCATAGTCTTAAACATACTTTTCATTTTGCAAAAATATCTGTCACAGTCATTCTGACATAAATATGCTATTGTTTATACAATGTATATGCCTAAAACTTCTGTTTTCACAAATCCAAAGAATTCTCGTGAGTTCCAGGGAGCCAAATTGAAGGATCCACCTTAAACAGGTCAGATACATCCCCCTCAATTCCCTGGTCCTAAAATTGTTTTCCGTAACTTAACTTTGTCCTCTGTTCTGCCAATACCTTAAACAGATGTAAGAGACACTAAACAGTTCCATACCACAAACACCGGACAGGAGCAAAGAGACCAACTATGCCAGGATGTAACCAGTACCCAGCCTTCTCAGGTTCTCCCCTAAAGACGACGCCCACAAATAAGCAGGAAGAAGTCTTAAGAATCTGCCGCCCCAATTCCTTTAACCTGTGGTGCCTAACCTCCCACTTTTTTATTATAAAAAAGAGATGGGAATGGAATGATCTCTTTAAGAGACAAGCCATGCCCACTCCCTCCCCATCTGCTGAGGCAAGCTGATCTTCAGCTTCCAGCCCGAGTTCTCTCTCTTTTCCATCTTCCTCTGGGAGAGGCAGCTTTGGTCTCACCCCCGCCCCACACACACACACCTCTCTGATCTTCTTCCCTTCTCCCTTCCCCTCCATAACCCCCTGAATAAATACCCAACCTCACTCTTCATGGTGTGCCTATCTCTCTGTCTCTTACCGACCCCTGCCACATGGCTTGCTGCAGGGGACGCCACCGGAACCATCCACCTTCGGAGACCTGTGGCATGGTCTCATGCTAGGACTGGTTGCTCTTGGGACCCCCGCCCACTGCCTGCCGCAGCCAGGGAACCCACAGCAAGCTGCTCAGGGATCTGCAGCAATTTTTATTTTTCCATTATAGAGGCAGCAGGACCAAGAGTTCAAAGTCATCCTCTACTACATAGTGTGTTCAAGGGCAGCATGGGTTACAGGAGACCCTGTTTTTAAAAAGTATAAAAACGTGCAAACTGCATTCCTGGTACCAACCATAGGATGTAGTGAGGGCCAATGCGTTACTATTTGATGGCTCACCCACCTACCCACCTATGTATGCATACTAGAGTCTGACTTTTTATTTTCCATTTGTGACCACTCTGTGCCTGAGAAATTTTTATGTAAGCCAGGCATATAAGGTTTACAAAACAGATAGACGGGTCAAACATTTATTAATAACCACAGGGAACTTTAGTTTAAAACAATTCATTGCTGTGCATATAATTTTACCATCTATGAAAGATAAAAGCAAATTTTCATACTAATGAGATGGTTTTGCTTGTTTGTTTTATATAAAAAATTAAATCTTGGCTGACTATTTGATGCTGCCGGGCAACATCATCTTCAGCTCTTCTCAGCGTCGGCCAGGACTTTGGTTTCTGAAATCACCAACCCCGGAAGACCATTTTGCATAAATACCTAGTACAAAGTGCCAGAAGTGTGCTTAGGCCCATTTCAAAAACGAAGTTCTGTCCCAACCCTAAGCCAAAACTCATTACCAGATTTTTATGAAACTCAAATCAGCAAATCAAAAGGCCCTTTTTTAAAATGAAGCACCCCTGATTGAGGCTTAGAGGAAAATAGCAAAACCTTCCTCGGTGGTCTCAGTGTGGGTGTGGACAGCGTGTGCAGAAAACGTGCATCATAACTTTCTCCCCAGAGATTATTACGATCTATATCTGTCTCCATGGATACCATAAACCCTGACTCCCTGTTTATCGCCATGTAATAACCTGGTCTCCTTGCTCAGATCTATGTAATAACCAATCTCTCTGTTCAACTCTATATGATAAACACCCTAAGCTTCCAGGGTCCTGAGGTTACATGTTTGGTTTTGAACTAACATTTAACACTGTACATGCAGGAAACTTAGTGTTGTTTGCAGCCCCTCGTTCACTCACAGAACCCTCTGTAGGACCAGTCATGACAAGCTCAATAGAGGCCTGACTCTCAGTAGTTTACCTGGTTCCAAGAAATACCACAAACTGAGACTACCTAGGCACCAGCTAGGAACAGAACATCCAAAGGAAATTCCTAAACATTCCAACCATTGTAGAAAGGATCACCTGCCAGCACACACCCATTGCTTTTCACTAGGACACCCCTAGACCAGTGTCAGCCAATCAGGGGTCCTGAACCTTCGAAAACCCTCACCCCCACCTTTGCTACCTTAAAATCCAACCCTAACTGAGCTCAGGGCTCTCTGACCACTCCAATACTATGGATACATGGAGAGTCTGAGTTTGTGAACTTGTGTAAAAATAAAGGCTATTTGCTTTTACATACAGAACTCGGTCTCCTAGTTGGTTTTTGGGGGGGACTCCGTGATCTGGGCATAACATTCCCTCATAGCACAAGAAGCTGCGTGTTCATCACTGGGTGCGCAGACAGTATCTGTGTTCATATTCCTGGCAACTGCTGGTTGTCAGTCACATAGTAGGTGCTTAGTAGCTACTGAACGGTTCCAGAAAAGACAGCTACCATTCATTCTTGGGAAGAGGGCTCTGGAAATACACAGTGGAGATTTCTGGAAACTTGTTTAGTAGATGATTGACAGTCTGGCCTTTCATCCCAGCACTCTGGAGGCAGAGGTGGAACTCTGAGAATCTGAGACAAACATGTCAACATAATGAGTCTAGGCACCCAGGGCTGGGTAAGGAAATCCTGTTTTTTTAAAAAAGGAAATAAAATAACAATTTACAACTCCTATTTACCCTAAAAGGAATAATTGTAACATCATCTTAGAGAAAAATAAGGCCTCCCAAAGAGGACTTTATTTTATCAAGAAACATTGAGTAGGCATCAAAGATCACATATGTGTCTGCAAGCGACATTTTTATGATTTATTTTTATCATTTTTAAATGTGTGTGTGTGTGTGTGTGTGTGTGTGAGCGAGAGAGAGAGAGGGAGAGAGAGAGAGAGGAGAGGGATGGACAGGTACCTGAGGAGACCAGAAAGGGACATTAGACCCCTTGGAGCTGGAGTTACAGGAGTTACAGGAAGCCATGAGTCACTAGATGTGGATAGGGGAATCTGGATGTGGGTGCTGGGAATTGGGCTCTGATTCTCTGCAAAAACCACAGAGCATCATCTTTAAAATTAAGAACTAATTCAGAATGTTCTGGTAGGGGAGCCTCATACACACAATATCAGGAATGTAGCCCTTTTTAATGTAGTAAACAGCAGAAGATGTTAGGAGGCACAGACTCCTGTCAGTGGTATTTAAGAGGGAATGAGTCTAAATTAGGGTTTAGTAGCAGCATCTAAATTAAGAAAGTGACACCCAATAACAGATTAGCTGTCTG